TGAGAGTAGGTTAGCAACTTGTTCAAGACTACAGAGTTAGTCAATTGTAGAAATAAGATTTAAACCCAGGCTATCTCTCAGTTTCCACGTCCAGATGCTAAACCAGAAAGCCCCACCCTGCAGGACAGTGGGGACATTTCTGCAACAGATGCAATAGGCATTTTTATAGGGCCATGTCTCCTTACCTCTTTCAATGCAGTGTCTTCATATGGGCAAAAAAAAGCATAAACCCACACGGTGAAATTCAGCAAAATTCAGCGAAAGCAATTCTTTGAACACAAACGCTTTACCCATGTGCTTGGTTCTTTTCATTTTATTTTTATATTTTATTTTAAAGATATAGGGTACAATTCAGGATTAGGTATACAAGTGGATATCATGCAGGTAAAGTTTGGGCCTCCCTTTAAGATCAGGTGCCCTTATTGATGCTGTGTCCCCAATCCCCATGCTTGGTCCGGAGTCTCACTCTGTCGCCCAGGCTGGAGTGCAGTGGCACGCTCATGGCCACCACAGCCTCAATCTGCTGGGCTCAGGCCAACCTTCCGCCTCAGTCTTCCAAGAAGTTGGAACCACAGGTGCGTGCTACCACTCCCAGCTAATTTTTTGATTTATTGTAGAGACGAGGTCACACCATGTTGCCCAGGCTGGTCTCGAACCCACAGGCTCAGGCAATCCTCTCACTTCAGCGTCCCAAAGTGCTGTAGGCTTGAGCCACTGTGCCTGGTCAAATCATATTCTTTTTAAGAACCCTTTATTTTGGAGAATTCAAACACATACTGAAAGTAGACAGATATGACATGCTCCCATGTACTTATCACTCAGCTTTAGCAGTCACTGACTTGTGGTTAATCTTGTTTCAACACAATTCTCACCCACTTCCTCTCTCCCATATTACCCTGAAGCAAATCCCAGATGTCATATTGCCCCATCCATAAATATTTCAGTGTGTCTCTAAAAATATGAACCCTTTGTTTTAACATCACAATACCTTCGCCACAACTATTTGAAATAATTCCTAAATATCACCAAATATCAAAATATGTCAAATCTCCAACTGTCTCAACATTTTTTGGAGGGGTTTTGAATTAGGATTCAAATAAGGCCTACCCATTCCCATCAGATGTAATAGTATTTTAAAAGACTCTAATTGTTTTATACGATTGTAAGAGGATATCATTTGCAATCTCTCCCCAGGGTGTCTGTCCCATTTGATAATGGGTCATGTTCCACAATTCATCCATTTCTTTCCTTATCCTTTATTTATTTATTTACCTAGTTAGTTAGCTATTGAGTTGGAGCCTCACTGTCGCCCAGCCTTGACCTGCTAGGCTCAGTTGATCCTTCTGCCTCAGCCTTCTAAGCAGCTAGAACCACAAGCGCACGCCATCCGCCACCACGCCCGGCAAATTTTTTAAGTTTTTGTAGAGATGAGGTCTCACCAAGTTGCCCAGCTGGTCTCAGAACCCTGGGCTTAGGCAATCCTCTCGCCTCTGCCTCCCAAAGTGCTAGTATTATAGGACTGAGTCACTGCACCTGGCCATTACCCTTTATTTTATACGAAGTTAAACACTCCCAATTAGTCACTGGGAACAGCTTCAAATGTCTGATACCTCTTTAACCATGGATCATAAACTAGAAGTTTCTTATGGAAAGCACTTTTGGCCTTCTACCAGATGCCAAATCAATTACAAAATATATTTGAAATCTGGATGGATGCATGCTTTAACTTGGGAGGTGGGGGCAAATGGGTTTCCCTCACCTACAAGGACTGCCCTGGCTCTGAAAAGCATATCTTCAATATTCCATGTAGTTCTAAACTATACCCAATAGATCGCTCTCCTCTTCCTTTTTTTTTTTTTTTTTTTTGAGTTGGAGTCTCACTCTGTCGCCCAGACTGGAGTGCAGTGGCCGCTCCCGGCCACCGCAGCCTCGACCTGCTGGGCTCGAA